CACCCTTGTCTCTCAGATCTCCATTCTCATATGTCCGTCTGCCTCCTCCCACTGTCCTCCCACCTCCCTGCGGCTCCTTCTGGTCCCCTCCCCTCCTCAGCCCTGCAGCTGCAGCCCAGGGCTCAGCGTGTGGCCAGCCCCCTCCTGTCCTTGCAGCCGTGGGGACCTCAACCAGCCCTGGCCTACGCTCTGAGCTCCAGACTCACATAGCCAACCAGTGGCCTGACACCAACTGCAGATGTTGGAAAGGTCTCTCAAATTTGAATTCACAGGTCCAAGCCAACTCTGATCTCCACCCTCACCCCTAGGTTGCTCTTCCGCCCCCTCCTCTGCAGTCTCCCATCTCAGCCAGGAGAGCTTCATTCTTCCAGTTGATCTGGCCAGACCCCTGCAGGCAGACATGATCTCTCTGTCGCACACCCTGGATTTGAGCCATCCTGTGCCCTACCTGAAGTCTGACCTTTCTCATTAGCATTGCCACCCATCTCTCGCCTGAGTCCCATCATCTCTTGGAAGGCTGCCAAGGCCCCTTAAGGGTCTCCTGCTTCCCTTCCCACCCCTTCTGCCTGCCAGAACCACAGCCCTGCTCAAAATCTTCCTGTGGCCACCACCACTTTGGGAGCCGGGGCCCTCCTCTGCAGCCAGGCCAGTGAGGCCCTGCACACAGTCTTGCTCTGGGCTGCTTCTTTAGCTCCCCCTCTCCCCTTGGCTTGCTGTGCTCAAGCCACACCAGCCTCCTTGCTGTCCTTCCAACAAGCTCACCCTCTTCTGCCTCAGGGCCTTTGCACATGCAGGTGCTCTCTCATCTCCTTCACCCCAAGGTCTCCTTCTCAGAGAGACCTTCCGAATCCCCTGTGAACCAAAGCCCCCTCCCTCCTGCCCTGCTCTACTGTTTTTTATAGCACTTATTGCCACTTTGTTTTGGGTCTCCCTCCCAGAACGCAGACCCAGTTCTGGGATTTCATTTTGGCTTTGTCTCTAGAGACTGGCACGGAGCAGAGTCCCAGCAAATGTTAGAGAAGGAAGGCAGGAACAGCAAATGGAGAGAGGACACAGGTGCCTCGTTCAGGGGCCCTTTGGTTTCCATCATCTTAGCCAGCATTTTCAAACCTTTCTCAGCAACAAAAACAACAAAACCTTTTTTTCAAACAAAATCTTACACAGAACCCCACAAGGTAAAGAGCAGAGAGGTGATTGCATGGGTACAAATTCAGTTTGTGTTTGAATCCTATCACTTACTTATTTAGCACTTAATCACCCATAAGAGCGAGGTGGCCTGGAACAGGAGAATTTGAATTTCTAGGCAAATGGATGACAGATGCTGACTCATGTCCGCTTCGTGGACCACTTCCTTTCTTTTTTGCTTTGGTCACAAAGTTCAGAGAAAATCTTGATGTGCATAACAATTAGGAATAGCGATTAATAAAACAACGTCTCCTGTTAAATTAAGCAAACAACTCATAGGAAGCTTTATATCCTAGGTTTGCAGAGCAATCAGCCTTGACTTCGAAAGTTGAGCTCTAGAACACATCTCAGTTTGCTTGGATGTTTTCCTACATTTTCTACGAGTTTAAGTCTCATATTAAAGTCAAGGTCAGGGTTGCAGCCCTCTGAAGCCCCACGTAGAGTTGCCAGCTTAAACAGTAAAATGTGAATTTCACTTAAACAGTGAATCGTTTTCACGTCTATGTCCCATTAAATTTGCATTTCAAGTATGGGACATACTTAGACGTAAAAAATGACTCACTGCTTATCTGAAATCCACATTTAACTGGGCACCGTGAACTTACATTTGCTAAATCTGGCGTCCCTACCCCATGCTCGGGTTGGGGGGTCGGGGGATGCCTACGGAGGCGGTGAAGCGGGTGGGGTGGGGGATGGCCCTGGAGGGGCGGGGCCGAGAGGTGGGGCTGGAGGCGGGACCAGGCGCTCGGGGCGGGGCGAGGCGAGACTGGGA